AAAAGCATGTACATTTACATAGGTGCCATAACATCTGTCACATGTGCTGTGTGACTGGCATTCAGGTTGACTGAATGCCAGTCTTTGGACGTTTGGACCTCATCCTGTGCTCGTGGAGTCTTATTCTGACAATTTGGTCAGAAACCTGCATCCAAGTAGCCCACTCAAGGTCATTTTATAGGGCTGTGGCAGCGGTCTCGCTGCTCCTCCTCTCCCAAAGGAGCAGATACCAGTCCTGCTGCTGGGTTGATGGCCTTCTACGGCCCATCTCCCATTATCTCTCCCAGACTCTTGAGGCTTTGGAAGCCTGTTGCCTCCACTAAAAAAAAAGTATCCATAACTCGAAATTTTGAGTTATCTTTCTTGAAATTTTGAGAAAAGTAACTCGAAATTTTGACTTAGCACTGCCTTCTCAAAATTTTGAGTTAATAAGTCGAAATTTTGAGGAAAATAACTTGAAATTTCCATATGAGGCTGTTCTGCAAGACATAGCAAACTTTGCATGATCTTATAAAAGTCTACTGGCTATGATATGACAAAGACACAGACAAAAAAGTAAAACTAGAGAAACATGAGTGAGGTGGGACAAGATGAGAGCAATGGTACGTGGAGAGCACTTGCAAAACTATCACCTGTTGGATGTTGTTTTGTTGTTCTTCAGTGCCCATATGTGTCTGTGTCGGTTCTCAGTCATCCAGGTCATGGTAGTCTTGAGAGTTTGGAAAAAGACAGCTTCCAGTTATTGTTGTTTATCAAGTTTTCCCTTAGTTTTTTTGAGAAGCCTAGAATAAATAGACTTTCTCAAATTAAAGTTGACCCCTGGTATTCGCAGGGGTTAGGGACTAAAACCGTGAACACGTGAGACCTGTCTAAAAATGCTAAAAACTGCCTATGTTAACAGGTCAAACAGAAGATATACCTTAAGGTATCATCCTAAAAACACTTTGCAAATGCCAGCCAATAGGGTGTAAGTAGCATTGTGCTTATTTCAGCTTCCCAAAGCTGCATTTTCTTTCCCGGAAGCTTTGTGTTCGGAATTTCCACATAATTTTTTAAGAACAAAACCCAAACATTTTATTGCTATTTTACTGTGTTTACATTAATATATTAATATTTGAAAATTAGTAAATAAGGATTTTTATCATTCAAAAATGTATTTAGTCATGAAAATACTAACTATATTTTTGCCCCAGCAGAATGACTAACCAACAGGATTATGTCCACATCTGAAGGAATGTAATGAGTGCTGCAGCCGTCAGAGGATATTGTATACCTTTGGTTTTACTCTCGTCCATCAAAAAAGCCAGCAGAGCAGCTTTGGACCCCGACAGGTTTATTTTGGATCGCAAAGATCAACTTGCCACAACTTGCCAATGTCCGTCATAGATGTCTCATCCAAGCAGATGTTGAACAATATGAGCCCCGGAGTCATGCCTTCCCAGCCACTGCTGACAGTCACCGTGACTCATGTTTCCACTTACTCACATACACAGGTGGGTCATAAAAAAATGCTTCCCAGGTAGATGCTTTACATTAAGGCAATGGCTGATTTTCCTAACCCTCTGTGCATTTCAGCTCTGTTACCTGTTTAGTCACATTCATGGCAGAACTTCTACCCACAGAGGTCGTTTATCTGTGCATCATACAAATCAGCAGAAATACAAACATGTATTTGAATGACAAATGCACAGGTGATGAGGGGGTGGCGATATTTATCCATTATGGGTAATCTCCCTTTGATTAAGTGTGATCTCTGTGGTTTTTCTTAAGTATTACATTCAACATCCTGAACATATCACTGATGAAAATGATGAGAAAAAAGGCATAAAAAATAGAGAGTGCCAAGCCCGATTGTGTTCTGTGTACTTAATGACATCATGAGGCTCCAAAGTAAGAGTAACTACGCATTTGTTACTGGACAGTGACAGAACTCAGTTTCAGCATTCAGAAATACAAATAGATGGAATTTAAAGAGAAAACATCAGCCTATCGAGATGCAATATGATGCAAACAGACACATAAAAAACATAAAGTTAAAATAACAACAAAGACAAAAGAGAAAACGACCCCACAGAGATGCAATGTGACCACAAAGAGACACAAAGATACTAAAAGGAGCTACAAAAAACCACAAAGAGACAGAAAGTTATTACAGACAAAGCGACACCAGTCGCTTCTGTGTTTTTACAAACATGTAAGTGTCAGTGAGAGCAAAGGTTCAGACAGCGTTTAAACTCTGCTGACATAAGTTTGATTTTACTGAACAAGCTATAGGCTGTGCAAATGTGGGAAATAACCATTTTTTCATCCCTCAAACACTTCAAAGGGGGATCACATCTTCATATATACACAGGGAACAAAAAAAAAGTTTTGGACATGAGAAAACCTTATTAGGATTGGAACATGCACTCCACAGATACTTTATTAGGAACACATTGCTACTGCCAGGCTGGACGCCCTTCTTCACAGCACAGATTCAAGGTGGTGAATCCTCAGAGATTCTGGTCCGTGTTGACGTGACGGCATCGCACAGTTGCTGTAGATTTGTCGGCTGCACATCCACGACGGGAATCTCACGTTCCACCACATCCCAAAGGCGCTGCGCTAGTTTGAGATCTGGTGACTGTGGAGGCCATTGGAGTGCAGAGAACTGGTTCAAGAAACCAGTTTTGAGATGCTTTGAGCTTTGTGACGCTGTGTGCTGGACGCACCCATCAGAAGATGGGTACAGTGTGGTCATAAAGGGGCTGACACGGTGAGCAATAATACTCAGGCATGCTGCTGCATTTAAATTATGCTCATTTATTTCTGAGGGGCCCAAAGCATGCCAAGAAAATATCCCCACTAATCTGAACCACAGTTGTGCTGTGTGTGGGTTATCTTGTCTGGGCCTCCGTACCTGTTCAAAATGTAGGGCAGCTCATATGTGGGCATACTGTGGGTACGCCAAGGGCCCTCACTGTGGGCCTCTCTCCGTTTAGTGTGGGCTGTCCACACTAAACAGATTTCACACCTGTACTGGGCCATAGTGGGGTCTGTTCATACCCCGAGTGGGCATTTTGCAGGGTTTTCACCCAGAATTATCGCTCACTGTATATTTCTCAGATTATTCTCAGGTAACTCTACACATGATTAATTAGATCAGCAGTTTCTGAACCACTCAGCCCATCTAGCACCAACAATCATGTCAGGTTAAGAGTCACTGAGATTACTTCTCTATTCTGATAGGAGGTTTAATCTTGAAATACGAGCTGTTGCCATGTGATTGGCTGATTAGATAATTGCATGGTGTACCTAACAAAGCAACAAGTGAGTCCTTATGAAGGAGAAAGGCTGTTAAAAGAGAGAGCAGGAGCTTAAAATCTCTTCCCAAAGGTCCCAAACCACAACGCCTACCTGAGTATCACCTCTGAGGTTTACACATGCTTCCGCTGGGTCATCCCACCTTTCTCGTAGAGACCCCACCCCTACCATACTGCCAACAGTGCCTCAAAAGGAAAGCTCATCCTGTTGCGACACCTCGGGCCCTCCGGTGAGTGTTGTTCAGGAGACGAGTTATAACAGGCAGCGTTATCTGTGGTCTTATTGGAAAAAACTTCCCCTTCTGGGACTAATAAAGGTATATCAAATCAATTCAAACAATATCTGACGACCGTTTCCACTGAAATCGCATGAACTGTTTCAGGAATTACAGCCATTCTGTGCTCTCACTGCATTCAGGATCGTTTTTTCCCCAATGCCTGACAAAGATGTTCTTACTGGGTTGAGATCAGGTTACTCACTTGGCCATGTAAGACTATCCCATTTCTCTGGAAATTCACAGTCATTACAGATTGTGAAAAAGTAAAAAAACAAAACAAAACAATGAAAATGTAGTTTTTACCCTCCTAAATTAAACTAGCCCTGCAGGTACCGATAGTTGAGATTCAGTGGCCTGAAGATAAATAACAATGTAAAGTTGGGGAGTTTACTATAAAATGCAGTTGCGTGTAGGTTTTGCTGAAGCACATTAAACAGAGGCTCTAAGGTCACACATGTCATTTCCTGCATATTTTTGTGCATCAACTTCTACCTTCATTAGCATCCAGGTGTAAGTTGTGGAGGCAGCAGTCTAAGCAGAGATACCAAACCTGCCTCTCCTCAGCCACTTCCTCCAGCTCTTCTTGGGGGACACCAGGCCATCCCCAAGAGGCACGAGCCCCCCAGTGTGTCCTGGTCTACCCAGGGGTCTCCTCCCAGGTGGACATGCCTGAAACAGCTCACCTTGTAGGTGCCCGTGAAGGCATCGCGGTCAGATGTAGCGGGCCTACTTTGAGCTCATTTCCAACACTTTTACCCACGATCTTCTTCGGTCATTAATCACAGCTCGTGGCCATCGGTCAAGCAGTAAATCAACAGCTTCGCTTTCATGCTCAGCTCTTGGTGCAGCATCCACATTATGAGACCTTCCGCTCTTTGGCTGCGATTCTGAGCGGAGCTGCCGACAGAGAGCTTCCCCGAGTAGCAACTGAACAGAATGCTGGTAAGCAAAGCAGCGAGGCTCTGCAGATTCTCTGTGCTGCTTTCAAATAATATTTCCCAGCATTTCTCAGCTGAATCAGCACATTTACAGGCATGATTCACCCTCCCGTCCTCCTTGGTGCTTGTTTGTACTGAGAACCCTCACGAACGGAATGTGGACAACTTTGTGCAAATTCGAGCACGTCGCACACGTCTGTGTTTTAGAAATGAACTTTAGTGCATCGCGTACATCTCGAGTAAGAAAACTTGGTCAGGCACAGATCGGATGCAGAACAGGAAAAAACACCAGCCTTATAACACCAATGCAAATACTCCGAATGTGCTATTGAGCAATGCAGTCAACCTAAACAATAGAAGGTGTTATTAAGGAGCTTTCAGCATCTCTTTGCATGATACAAAATGAGCAGCAGGAAAGTGACTAAGCATGTCGCTCTCTCTGGAGGCTGAAATAAAATAGAGAAGCAAATGAGACAAAAACATACAGCTTGACCACCAACAGTTTTAATTCCTCTGACGTAAATGAACGACACTCATGGGAAACATCTTACAAAACTTCCTCATGCACCAGTTACAAAAGTACAAAGTGAAACAAGACTCCCTCTTTCTTTCACAACACAGCTTTGGTTATTTTCAGGTTAGACGGCCATTATTTTCCCTTATAATGTTTCCCAGCACATCACAACAAAGACAGTCATGAGGTGCGAACACATGAGAGCAAGTGCTGTTTCGTACACGGAGCAGCTTGGAAACCATATGACTTACTTTAAATGTTAAGACACCCTGGAATGTTACAGCTGGGCTGTCTTATCAGAGCTTTCTGTCCAATTATGGCCATTTTATTCATTTCAGATAGTGTGAAAAAACAAAACAAATGTGTCAGATGATGAAAATCAGACGGTTTAAAAACCTCTGTCAGCTCCGTCTTTCCTCACATCTATACAGGCAGAAACGCGGCCACAACAGACCCATTTATGTCCGGGTCGACGTAAATGGGTCTTCTTTAACACCACTGATGTCAACAATCCGTTTACAGCACAAAACACAAACCGTTTCATTGTAGTTGTTGCTTCATATTCGTCTGTGTGCCTCACAGCCTGTTGCACCAGCTGTGTTTAGGTTTGCACATTTCCTGCCATTTCTTTTAGCGATTTTGCAATTAGTCATGGTAACGAGAAAGCGCACCCTGTATCACTTCTTAAGTTTTAAATATCAGGAGATAAAAGTCATTTGCTCCTTATCGGGTCCTAAAATTTGATAAATCCAACTCTGATAAACTACAATACACGACGCTGTGACAATGAGTCGTTGTTTCTTTCACCGAAAATAAACCCTGAGGCAGAAGCAGCGTGTGAAACACTAGATGCAGCCTCACTGCTTCCATGGGAAATAAGCGGTCGAGCAGCCTGGTACTGAGAGTCAGATGCACTCGATTAACTGATCATCTGCAAGTGTGCAAACTTTGGCAGTTTGCTGGTCTGTTAACACAATACCAAGGAGGAAAGACATCAGCTGGGTTGTGAGGTCAGACTCTGCCTGTGCTGGTTTCCTCTTATTTGTGTGTTTATATGTGCAAAAGCCACAACCAATAGAGCGTTCGCTCTCACAGCGTCATACAAAGGATCGTCCTGAGAATCAGGACAGAGCGGAGAAAAAAGGCATTATTCCCGTTTAATCTGGAATAATCTACAGAAAGAGCTGACATTGTCAGAAATGTGACTGTTTTTAATGTAGCTCTTAATGATCTGCTGTTGCTCACTTGTCTGTGTGGAATATTGTATTTGTTTTTTACTTCTTATGTGTCGTAGTTGTTGTAACCTTTGTGCAGGTCTCTCTTGGAAATTTTCATTCTCACTTTTCACAATTTGAAGTCCAAAAATTCTACATATAAAGATTTGGTCTTGTTTTACAGCCACAGAAAGGAGATTCAATCAAAGTCCAGACCTCAGCCGGACGGAGGTGTTGCGGTGGGACATAAAGGTGGTTCTAGAAGCTGCTGAATCACGGCGTCTTTAGGATTTCACACACTGCTTCTGCTTTTTGGCTTAGATTTAGTTAAATAATGTCACGATGTAATGTGCCCTGTGTGGTTGTTCATCTGCGGCTGTTTAAATCCTTTTAATGTGATTTTTATGACGTCCTCACACGTAAACCCTTTGAATTGACAGAAGGTGCATTATTTATTATTTTGTAGCAAATTATTTCGATATTTAATCCGTTATTGTTGAGCCAATAACTATTTTTAGCCAACTGTTACATATAGTTGATCATTATCGAAATGTAATATTTAGGCCCTTGGAATCACTGTCATATTGAAGCAATCAACTCTTGTGTTTGACAATTTATTATTAGAAAAACGTGTAGAGGTGTTAACGAAGGTGACTAGAGCGTTCCCCCCAGTCTCTGGAGACTTTTGTAACATGGAGAGCAAATAAATGGCAACTGAACGTCTAGATATGGGCACCGCAACCTCCATCGAGAGGTCCGGCTTCAATTCATGGAACATGACCGCTCCAGGTGAGGGGAGCCTTGCAGACAGCTAGCAGGTAGGTCGGTCTGTGTGGGGGCCAGAGAAGTCGCGCCTGTATAGAAAACAGAAACTGTCTTTTTGTAGGAGGCTGTAAACGTATTTATTTCTGCTGTGCATGGGGACAGTTTAACCTGCGAGTCTGGATACTGACAGAAACTGATCCGAGGAACCACAGATCTTAATGTCTGTGTAGGTTCTCAGTCATGCAGGTCACGGTAGTCTGAGGAGCTTGGACTTCTTTAAGTTTCCTGAAGCTGTTTCACCTCTCATCCAAGAAGCTTGTTCAGTCTTCCAAGCTCCTCAGACCACAGCTCGTAATACTGATGGACTGGCTTCATTTTCCAGCCCTGGAGGTTGCTGCTTGGTAATAATAGAGAGCAAAAAAACAAACAAAAACAAAAAAGAGATGACATTTTGCATATATTTTGGAATAAATAACAATAAAAAAAACCAGGAGTGTTTTTGTGAGGTGAGCTGCAAATGCTTGTGTAGCAAACCAACCAGTAACAGTGCAGCAAATAAAGGCGACCAGCTGCAACATATCAGTTTATACCAAATTACCGCTTGAACTGATGCTGTTGCTATATTTATGGTGTTGAAGTATTAAATATTTATGTTATGATAAATAATAAGCTTACAAAATAAAACAGAGGTGATTCCAACTGCAGTCTAATGCAAGTTTTTGCGCAAGTCTTTAAAACCTGACATTCTCGCGTCGCTTCAAATTGAAAGAGTTGTGTTTTGGCCCGGGGCGATCGGCCCTAACGCACACTGCGCTGCATGAACGGGGCATTTTGTAAGCGCAGCCGCTGAGTGCAGGACAGACACCAGCAGCTGTAACTCGCACAGAACAAACGGGGTCAAGAGATGCCAAAACTGTCCTGACTGTAAAGCCAGGTCAGAGGTCAGCAAAGCTGCAGCACATCCAGTAAATCACCAGGGTAACGTGCTCTGTTTTAGAATGGACCGGCCCGGACCAACTCAGATAAAAAGTGATAATCCTTTAAAGAGTTTGTGCTCCAAGAAGCAAACGCTGAAATCAGCCCGTGGGAACGTTTCTGTGAATATGTGGAAATCAGGTGCCGTCGCCAAAAGCAAGTCACCCGTGTTCGTGCATAGTTTGGAGAATTCCACGTGGCTTTTCTACACCGTCTGAGCTGCACGCCATAGTTTTTAAAGGACACAACCGCACTGCGAGGGCCTCCAGTAACGTCGACAGTTTCCTGGAGTTTAAGAGACATTTGTGAAATCTTTGGTTGTGGATTCAGAACTGTGCTCCTACAGCTTCCTGTACAAAATCATTTTACTTCCTTCTTCTAAACTGTCAAACTGTGCTGGTCACAGTTTTTGCTGTGACATGCCAAACAGAACATTATCCATCCACACACACGTAAAACAAACCAGCGTGTGAGGCTTAATATGCATGTGACTGAGTCAGCTGGCAAGTGTCTAATGCGTTTACCAAAAAGGCAGCTGATTCCTGCTGCAACTTTTCACTTTGCTTTCATGTGTGACTCATCCTTCCCTCGTATCTCTACCACAAGGTGACGTGTGCAAAGTTATCATGAACTGGAACGTCATAACGGTGATAATAATGGGATATTTGCAGCCTTGAAATGATCTAGAGTGATCCTTTAATAAAGCGGCACCACAGCGGGCCTCGCTGCCTCTGCAAAAACGGTGCCGCATGATTTCTAGTGTAATAAAGGGGTAGTGACTGGTGTATAATGAATCCCTCGCCAAGTAACCGAGAACCAGAAAGCATTCAAAATGAGCAATGTCCTTTAAAAGAAAGTTGTAAAAAAAGGACCCCACACTTCAAAGAAAATAGATTTAGATAAGAAAAATGTCATAAGACCCATAAAGCTAAAAATGTGTTCAGATTAAAGTCTATCCCATTTGGTCAACAATAAATATACATCAAAAGGGTCGTGAGTATAAACCAATGACTGGAGTCGAGATCTTCAAAGCGTAGCGACTACAGCGCTTTAGTGTTTGTATATGAACTCAGACCTACAGCAGATAGAGCGTACCAGTGTGCAAAAGTGGAGACACATGGAGCCGGGACAGAGCTGCCGGCTGCCGTCTCGGCTCAGATTCTGATCCGGAACATGCCCTGACTCAGCTGAAGGCGGAACAGTCGACAATTGGCGATGCGCAAGTTGGCACAGGCCGTTTTGGAAAGGTCGCTGGGTAACATCTGCTTGGTGCGATGCCACGTCCCGGTGGTGCGCCGGAACTCCCGGATGTAGTCAAAGTTTGTGCCTGCAACCAAAGGAAGCGAGAGGGTAACAGGATCAAACACTGAACATCCTGAAAGCCCAGCAGAGCTGTATTTAATGTTTTCACTGACCTGTGTCCAGGTCCCCCACCACGTAGATACTGGCTCCAATGGGCACGGCGCCGTAGACGAAGGAGGAGCTGGTCTGGATGCACAGGTTCTGGTCATCCAGGAACATCCACCTGCAGCAGAACGTGTTTCTTTTCTTTTAATAATGCAATCGTAAGATTAGCCACACGTGCAAACTGTAACGTCAGCTCTGCTCATCTGTGCAACGATGTGCTGCAAGTTTAAAAAGTGAGGTTCAAATGGAGCGCTATCGTCCAAATACACACAAAATAAAAGCTTCAACAAGACTTTCAGCTGTCACTGGAGAAAGCATGATGCCAAAAATAAAAGAAATCAATTTAGACTTGAGGAAAATAATTATTGATGCTCACAAAGCAGGAAATGGATATATAAAGTTATCACAGCGTTTCCTGGACAGGAATAGACTGCAAGAAAAACAGAAGAGACGCCTTCAAACCAGAACGAAGTGCGCTGAAGACAACCTGGAGAACGATTAAGCACGATGATGAGATGAAACTAGAGCCAAAGGGAGAGGCCAAAGAACAAAGAACACTGTCCCCATAGTGAAACACGGTAGTGGGAGTATTATGCTGTGGGGATGCTTCAGTGGAAGTGGGGATTTCATCAAGGTGGACTCAAGACGGAAGGAAAGACGTGAAGATTTTGAAAGAAAACTGGGTCTGGGTCATTGTTTTGTCTTCTGACTCAACAAGGGAACGTTATTGACTCACACAAAGACCCGATCAGAAATCTGTGGGGTCAACAGAACTAGGGCTGGGCCATATCATACCGTTCACGGTAACACCGCTATAATGTTGGGCAACGATTAGAAAATGAAATATGGCGACAGAATATGGGTAAAACACGCAAGTGCCTTTGTTTTCATACGCACATGGCGGAGAATGAGAAGGGCGAAAGCGGATCGTTGAATTCTGTGAAATCTTTTCAGTTCTGTGTGCAAATTAAATAACGGAAGCATTCAAAATAAAACTGTTAAAAATTCCTTGCCCTGTTTAAACAGCATTTGGGAAAGCGCTGAAATATGACAGCACTTTATTGCGGCAGCACAGTTTACGTCACTGTGGCTGCGTCTGTGGTTTTAACGTTTAACGACTCACCTCCTCATCTCGTCATGGTAGAACTCAGACTTGCAGGTCGTCATTTGTCTTTGCTCGGGGTTGTCGTTCTCTTGGCTTCTGACTCCACCGAACACGTAAAGCTCCTGACCGACGCCGCACGCCACCGAGCCAAACCTGAGCAGCACAGACATTTTGAGGGTTGACAGTAAAGCGGGCTCCTCGCTATGCAATGAGTTTAACAATTCATTTAAAGATAATAAGTAACGAGTAAATTAGGGTCACACGGGAGAGATCTCTTCCCTTAAATGGGAGTTTTTCCTTCCCACTCTCACCAAGTGCCGGCTCAGAGCGTCATCTTATTGCTGGTCTTTACTTTACAAACGCAAAGCGCTGATATTTCACTATATAAATAAAACTGAATTGATCTGAATTGAATAATTAACGCTATAAAAAGGATGCATGTGACCACGTACACCCCGTGAAGCCTCGAGGACCTCTGTTCAAGAATACAGAAACACTGCTTCTCTCCACAACTCGAGGATTTATGGTCGTCTGTTTTTAACTACAGAACTTATTCAGTGGTTAACTTTACTGACGTTCTGAGGAAGGTGGCAGACCAATGTGGTTTCAGCGCAGTGACACTGGGTTCGTGCCATCGCTGCCTTTTGGAGCATTTTTAATGAGACAAATAACCTGGCTTGCCTCGAGCAGCTTGCTATCATTAAGTGACAGCTTATTACTCGACCCTCACTCAACTTTGGGATGAATAAATATTTATGTCATTTTGTCTTACATAGAATCATTTCTGGAACCAAATGGTGGCAGGTAAAAGTTTGAGGATCCAAAATCCGTAAACTCATGGGTCATATTGCAGAGGCCTGGTCCAGCTCTTGAAATACATTTATTTAATTTATTCCTTTTAGCATTTTTTAGTTGAATTTCAGTACAATGCCACGGCTGTGAGAGGGTTCCATCCTCAGCAGATTCTGAACATACTGTGGGCAAAAGCGCAGTTGCAGCAGCGGTGCTTAAAAAGTACAGAAAAACCAATAAGGAAATTCTGCAGACGCCCACAGAGAAGAAAAAAAACCCTCATAACAGCGCATAATGAAACCAAAACCTGTGGATGGATGAAATCCACATGAGTAGCACAGACGGGTCTAGCATGCTTGGTGTGGATTCAGCAATACGAAAGAGAAGGTGTGACACAACTAACGCACAATAAAAACCACAGTGTTGAATGTTCTGACTGCACCATATGACTCAACAGCTACACTTGCTGAGCAAGTCAGTGAAGCTGTGATGTTAGATAAAGTTAGTCAAACTGAAAATAAAACTTCCAGATTGGGGAGAATGACAGTGACTTATAGAGCTATGTTTCATTTCCTGTTGTGCAACATGAACTAGTCCAAATTAAAGCAACAACACTGAAGTTAAATGTTAAGTGTTGCACAGCAAGTGTGCATGCAGTGAAAGAACCCCCCCCCCCCAAAAAACAAGCTGACTGCAAAGAAAACAAAAACGTCAGGACTGTGAGGAAACACCGACTTTAACGTTTTAAGATCACAGACAGCAGAGGCTGTGCTTACCTTCTCTCTTTCAGAGGACACAGCCCCGTCCACTGCTGGGTTTTGGGGTCAAAGCATTCAACAGAGTCAAACAGCTTCCCGTAGGAGCCCCCACCGATGGCGTAGACCTTCTTATTCATGGAGGCGTAGCAGCCGACCTGAAGGAGAAGACGGAGACGATCGTACAAATCAGACGAGGTCAAAGCGTCGTCCAGCCATCGAGCTAAGCAAATATTTCTGTCACTGATTTTATGTTGTTTTTAACATTTCAGAACAATGAGAGCTGTTCTGCTGAAGTTACTGCTGAAGACGGGGTCATAACAGACCACCAACATCCAGTCATTAATCTAAGGAGAATCGAAGGAGATCTTTGTGTTGAACCCATGTATGGATACAGCTGCCAAACCAAATCCCAAACACACACTTTAAAAATATAAATAAATTTGTCCAGAATCGCTGCGTGACATAACTGCAGGTCATCTTTTATATACAGTTTATAGACAAATCCTGTTACTCAGAGTTTTACATTCAGTCATCAAAGTGACATCCATCAGTTTGAGTTGAATTCCAGCTTGAGCAATAAATCGTTGGCGTACACAAGTGACGACAACCGTAGTTCCAAGCGCTCCGGGTGGTACAGCATTCCCAACTGGAATACGGGTCAAATTCCAGCCTATTCCAAAAATAGCTAAACACTGAGTCCAATACACATAGATAGGGGCATTGTACTGGGAATTCTAGTGCTGACGCTACTGGAAACATTCACAAGCCATCCAAGCTAAATCTGAGACTGTCATCATCTGTTCTCTTTTTCTGGTCCTTCCTTCAAATTTAACAAGAAGCTGACCTCATGCAGCTCTCTGATTGGTGGTTTCAGACTCTCGTGTAAGATGACAAATTGCTGACGTTGTCACCCATCATTAACACTCAGCAGCCAGTTAGCTTCCGGTTCTGCAGAACAGATGAGCTCAGATGGAAAAGCTGTAGAAATGCTAAAAAACTAACTACTGATAACCCAGACCCAACTCACTAAAAGTATCGATTCGATCTGTCGCACCACTTCAGCAAACCCACATTTAGACATTTTTTCCACCAAGTGGTCTACGATTATTTCATGGTGTTATTTTGATCGTTTTAATGGCGGGATGACACGCAGCAAAAATCCACAGTAGAACCTGAGCCTGGCAGTTACATGGGCAGCACCTTAGACCCTTATTTGTTTCTGTATTTACTTTATTCCTTTGCTTGCGCAACATTTAGTATTTGTCCTGCTTCTATTTATGCAATTTCTGCACTTTTAACATTTTTTTTTGGGGCATTTCTGTCATGTTAATTTTATGTTTAATTAATTGTTCAACACTTACGTCAATTATTTATTTTAATGTCTGTTTTTATTTTATTTGATACCATTTAGATATTTTATATATCTAAAGGTATTTTTCAGGGTTACAGTTAGGTTATGGTTAGGTTTAGGCATTTGTTTTATATGGTTAGGGTAAGGGGCTAGGGAAAGCATTATGTCAATTAGATGATATGAATACCCGAGGTAGAGGTGTGCGTGTGTGTGTGTGTGTGTGTGTGTGTGTGTGTGTTACCTTGCGGATCATGGTCATACTGGTCTGCATTTTCCAGGTATTGAAGTAGGGGTCGAACACCTCGACGGTGATCAGCCCCAGCTCTTCACTCTCTCCACCAAGAACATAGATCAGACCATCCAGCTCCACCACACCGAAGTTCTGACGAGCCTGAGAACGTCAGCGGATGTTAATATAATCAACCACCACCGCCAACAACATCCCCCAAGCTCAGCTGTACGCTCAGCCACAAACAAACACCCTCCTGGGGTCTCTGGGTGTTCCCACGTCTGAGTTCCAAGTTCAGATGTTTCATAAGTGCAAAGCACAACTGGGCACAGCTGGGCGATCTGTGGCCCGGTTTGTTTGCAAAGGGGGACTTGAGCTTAAATCAGATACGCTATTAGAGCATACCAAAGCCACGAAGAGTACCGCTGGTGACGTCAGTTTTTCACACAGCTGTTTGTCTGTGTCAACACAAACGCAGCAGTGGGATCAGACCCCATGACTGGCTTGAAGTGTATTATTTATTATATTGTTTTCAGACTGTGTGCAGTGCTCCTGTGCCAAATTCATCTCGGTGCAGCAGCTTTAATAAGCTGATGATCTGCTGGTGGAGCTCTGTCGGGGCCCTTCCCCTAACTTCACCGTCCAGCATGTTTCCGCCAGCTACTTCATATCAGGAACTTACTAATGACAGCAAACTTTTATTAGTGAATGACATCACTTTTCTGGAGAACGATTGTGTGCTCTGTGTATCATCTGCCTTTAACCCTTCAGCTGTCAGGGAATTTTTGCAGCACTGCTGACACCTGATGGCCATGAAGTCAAATATAAAACAATATGGCAGCAACATATCTGCTCTACGTCTGGTATATACTGAATATTTATGTAGCCAAGTAGCACGAATGATGGTTTTCATACATGTTTATTGTCTATCTGACAGAAAAGCACTGAGCAGAAGGAGAGAGTGTATCATATGACATTTGCAAAACACTGCATTCTGCTGTTTTTAATACAGCATCCCTATTTTGCACTTTTTCTGCACACTCACACAGGAGTTTACTTCTGCCGTTTATCTGTTTATGGGTTTCCATGAGTAACTGTTTCAGAAACGTGATCCTACCTGTAGCATTGGGGGAATCGGGCTCCAGGTGTTGGAGTCGGGGTCATATTTCTCTCCAGTGGCCAGGACTGCGTTGTGTTCATCTGTTCCACCCACCACGAACAGAAACCCCCCTGACCAACAGAGACAGCCTTGCTAATGACACACCTGCTAATGTCTTTTACTGAACACAAAGCGTTTTGTTACAGACATGTAGGTGCGGTGGACTGCACTGACCGGCAGCAACCAACCCATGGCCGAGGCGGGCGACACTCATTGGCTCCAACTCTATCCAAGCCTGCCTGTTGGCGTCATACAGAGGACACATGCAGCGCGACGCAGCTGTCGGCTTCCTGGTTCTGCACAGAGTGAAAGCATCAGATCAGACAAAAGGTTTTCCCCTCACTCTGTTCAGACAGGATGTGAGTCGGCCTTCCCGGTACTTTTACTGAAGACCAAGTGCACACAGGAGACCGAGAACAGGCTGCCTGTTCAGACCTGTTCAGACTGCATATTTTTAAATGGTAAATGAACTGATACTTGTGGAGCGCTTTTCTACTCTACTGGAGTACTCAAAGCGCTCTATACAACATGCCACATTCACCCAATCACACCCATTCTCACAAGCACTCTCTCTATACTTAGTGCTTTCTAAGTACATTCACACACATTCATACCCCGATGGATGCATTGGAGAGCAACTTGGCAACTTGTTAGTTAGTATCTTGCAGACTGGAGGAGCCAGGGATCGAACCACCAACCTTCCGATCAGTAGATGACCTGCTCTACTTCCTGAGCTACAGTCAAAGTATGATTTCTCTGCAAACAATTGATTGTGTTGCATAAGTTCAATTCAATTTTATTTATATAGCGCCAAATCACAACAAAAGTCGCCTCAAGGCGCTTCATAGATACAGAGAAAAACCCAACAATCATATGACCCCCTATGAGCAGCACTTTGGCGACAGTGGGAAGGAAAAACTCCCTTTTAACAGGAAGAAACCTCCGGCACACCCAGGGTCAGGGAGGGGCGGGGCCATCTGCTGTGATTGGTTGGGGTGAGAGAAGGAAGACAGGATAAAGACATGCTGTGGAAGAGAGACAGAGGTTAATAACAGATATGATTCAATGCAGAGAGGTCTGTTAATACATAGTGAGTGAGAAAGGTGACTGGAAAGGAAAAACTCAATGCATCATGGGAATCCCCCGGCAGCCTACGTCTATTGCAGCATAACTAAGGGAGGATTCAGGGTCACCTGGTCCAGCCCTAACTATATGCTTTAGCAAAAAGGAAAGTTTGAAGCCTAATCTTAAAAGTAGGCCAACAAAGTGAAAACTACAAAACAATATAGCTTTCAAATGGGTGCTTAGGACAAAGCCTTTAGAAATAACTAACGAGAACACACTAGATCTTCTTGTTTGAAGCCAGAAAGATCTGTTGCAGAGTAATTGTAGCTCCAGTACTAGAAAAAAAGAATTGCCTGAAAATCATTTCCTTCTCCCTGTACAAGTTACAGTAATCTGTATTTACTTTCATTAAATCTCTGACAGTTTTCAGGGAACCAGACAAAAAGTAAGTATTTATATCTACTTATATAAATACAAGTAGATATAAATCTCCCTAAACCTCACGCTGGATTTGGGAAGGTTTTACATCAGATCCCCTTCCTGACACAACCCCAAAGGGCCGTGTGTCAGATGCAGATGGAATCGAACCATCAACCATTTGAATGTGCTAACCAGTACACTATAGAGCCACACACAAAATATTAAGGAGGGGTTAACCCTGCAAAGCCTGAACCATGAAATAACTGCCAGAAAAGTCTTTTTGAAGCTGGAGTGTTTATTTCACCTTCAACGCCATCGCACTCATCACACCCCGGACACAACCTGTTCCAACTCCTTCCCTCTAGTAGGCGCTGCAGAGCGCTGCATGCAAAATCAAGCAGACATCTGTACAGTTTTTATTCCCACATTCACTCTGATCAACGCTCACGCAGAGTCTGTACTCATACAGCCATCATATCAATCATTGCAGTAGCACTGATGTCGTACAGATCAGGGTTTTTTAGGAAAAAAGAAAAAAAGTCACAATAAAATTGTCTTATCAGGTTTATTAGCTTCCTTAAGTATCTGAGCTTTTACGTAATTAAACAAAAACACTGCATCAACCCACCGCACCTCCACCATGACCTGAACTAATCTCAGCTGAGATGGTTTGGTTGCAGGACAGAGTGAAGCACACTGTGAGATTTCAGAGGCATTCAAAGTTCAAAGGTGATAACTGAATCTCAAAGTCTACGTTATCTGCTTTGTTTCCATGCTGCGTCAGTCATGATAGCATCTGAAGGACACAGCACACAAACAAGCTTCTGCTGCAGCGCTCAGCTCAGTTTTACTGCTTCAATCTTTTTTTCCCTCTGTCAGCTGGTTTTTTTTTCCTTCCAACAAGTGCTGATATACCTCCCACCCCCACCTTTCCTTTCTTCGCTCAGTAGACGCAGGTTGTAGCTGTGAAATGGTCATCCATTCATTCTGACTGTGTCGGAATTTTGTCCCAGGCTATCTTTGTTGAACACTGTGACACATGGAACCAACATTTCATAGTCACAGGCAAAAATACCGTCATGGTTATTTCACGTGAGTCATTCTTCCAGAATGGCACAAAATTACACAATTTACACTCGAGTTAAGGCTGGTTAGTTAAGGTTACTTCAGTTTTGATGTCATCAGCCAACACTGAAGAATACAGTACAATAAATAAAGCATATAAATGGTAATGTATTTGCAGCCAAAATAAATGTATGAAATAAACTTCTGTTTCTTTGCATGAAGCCCAAACAGAACAAAACAAAGTTGGCGAGTGCGACTTACTTGCGATCCTCACCTCCGGCGATGACGATACACTCAGAATACCCTCTGGGTTTGAAGGCAGCGAGCATAGCCTCCCCCTGCAGCTGACCCTGCGTCAGCACCGGCTGACAGTACTCTCTGATCACCTCCCTCATCAGAGGCTCCCCCATGGCCTGATGGGATACAACGGTAGCACACAGCGAGGTTAGCTCAAAACTTATATTGCATTTGTATGTTTACAGCAGACTGAGTAAGCCACAGCTTTCCCACATAAAGGTGGTAATCAGCAGTTCCTCCCGCACTGGGATGTCACTAAAAGCTTTTCAGGAGAGTTTTCATGGTGAATGACTGCGTGTGAGGATCACTGGCTCACACACAGCTAAACTGTCCATGTCTGCAGGTGGAGGAGATGTACCAGGTGAGGCTGAAGGAGACAAAGTGTGTGTGTTTTAGCCACTACACACACAGCACTCATCAGTATACTCAGTTATCAATGCTCAGTGTTGTTAGATGTTGAAAACAGGAGCCACTTTGTTCTGAAATTCTCTGCTGCCATTTGATGTTTTCTCAGATTTAAAACCATGGTTCATTTGTCAGTTAGCCTTGCTAACACGGGGAGAAAGAGACTCATTGTATTCACACTTAATGTTGAAGAAAGGCAGCCTCAGCCTGCATTTCAGCTGTTACAGCCTTTAACCTGAGCTGTGACGCTGTCATTATAGCCAAACAATAAGCTGGGATCAGAATCCTAGCTCATAAAATCGAATAAACTTCCTGATTCTTGTTACAGTTTTCATGACATACATTTACATTGACACTAGGACTGGGCCATATTATACCGTTCACGGTAATACTGGTATAATGTTAGGCAACGATAGGAAAATGAAATATCGCGATAGAATATGAGTAAAACGCGCATGCGCAGTGCCTTTGTTTTCATACGCACATGGCCGATTGTTGAGTGAAACAATGAACCAGAATTGGTTTGTAAAAATGGTGCAACTTCAGTGATGTGGAACTGGTTTGGTGTTTGTCCGTCAGATACACACAAAGCACATTTTTTTGCAGAACATGCAAGCGGCCGTCGTTATTGTCGGACTAAGATGCTCTTAAATCTGGGAGTAATCTGGGTCCTAAACTCCGTATCTTCAGGTCAAACGAACACTGCAGCATCACTGAGAGTTAAAAACTGTCTAAATTCTTTCATCTTTAATAAAACGATCAGCATTGCTGCTTTACCAGGTGTAACTATGAAGTTTAACTTCCAGGCATCCATGAAAACAAAATTTATTACATTTAACGGAGTTAGAAGTTAGCAGGAAGCTAGCGGAAGTTAGCTCGCTAGTTTCGCTAGCATGTTCTGACTGAGAGATTTCTGAAAAAATTCAAACGTACAGCTCTGCTATCACTTCCAACATAAATGAAGACAGGAAACTAAACAGCAGTGACGTTTGTAGGGTTACTGAAGTTGGGCTAGCTGGTATATAATGATGTGCTACGTGATCGCTAGCGACACAGCTATGTTAGCATAACATAAACAGTGAAGCTGGAGGACGAACACTAACACTTTTCCACTTATAAAAGTTAACGTGTAAGGTTTCTGCTAGTTAGAGACAAATGCAATCGCATGGCAGGATGCTGTAAACGGACCAAACTTCAGTCAGGAGAACAACTGAGATAATCCATCCACAATACGAGGTTAGTCATTAATATACTGCAACAACATGGGAATAGAGCAGCTGCCAGAGAATTCAACATTAATGAATCAATGGTACAGAAGTGGAGGAAGCAAGAAGAATGAGTTTAATAAAGTTTGATTTATCTGACTGCTTTGTTTCGCTTAATGTGCCTTATAATCCCGTGCACCTTATGGTCCGAAAAATACGTACTGCACACTGCAGTTTAATGTTGCAAAGCACCTCTTTTTAACTTCAGTGGATATTATACATGGTTATGCTCAGGATATGTCAGCCCATTTCTACTGGAAATGCCTTTTGGTTAAACTTTCAGCAAGGAATTTGCATTTGCACTGTTACATTTTTATAAAGCTTTAATGTACATAAAAACCAGCTTCTTGTTTAAGTGAAAATAAATGGAAGGTTGTCTTTTTGCGCTAGTAATGTTGTGGAGTTGTATTTTGTCTCGCATCAATTATATCGTCAGTTATATCGTTATCGCAAATTTTCAAATATATATCGTGATAAATATTTTTGGCCATATCGCCCTGCTCTAATTGACACAACAGTTTTCAGTGTAACATTCACATCCAAACACGGTCTCCCTGTGCCTGCCAGTAGCAGCTGGTAAGAAGTATTTAGACTGTTTACCTGCTCTCTCAGGTAGCTCAGATCCAAACCCTGCAGCCACACGGCAGACATCACTTCCTTCATGCGTACCTGCAAATTCAGATGGGATAACAGTTTGTTTTTTTTTATTCAGTTTGAGCCAGCCCTTCACAGTTTTATATGCATAAAAAAGAAAAGTGTTTATAGTTAGGTAGTTTAGAATTTAATAAGAAAAACCACTCATCAGTATTTTGTTGATATGAAACTAAAGCTGGACAATGAGACTCGCCTCTGAATGCTGCAGGTATCTCTGCAAAAAAAGAGAACATTTTCCAGTGCTACCCACCCTGCGATCATCCGGGTCGTGTGCGAACCACCGCACCACGGCCTCCAGCACATGCTTCTCGTTGCCCACATTCAGCTTCTCCATGGACAGCACCTCGCAGAGCCGGTCCGGTGGCAGCTCCCTGAACTCCTCAGTCAGCGCCACGTCACGGAAGTGCGTTTGCAGGAACTCTGTGGCGACGTAGTGCACGTGGTAGAGGCAATAGTGCAGAGAGAAGAGGCGGATACCGATGCAGTTCTCTGCAGTGATGCAGCTCTCCAAGAACTTGCAGCACATTGACTTGAGGTCGGTCATGAGGAGAAGGTCGGATGCCTGCACCATGTCCTGGATGGTCTCTTCTCTCAAGGTGATCTGTGTGTGAGGTACATATGAACAGTCAGTGAAAGCCACACGCTATTAGGATATCAGCAGGTCACTCTGCTTTTTAAAGCATCCCCACTCACTTCACCGCTGAAGATGTAGTCCAGGATTTGTTTCATGATGGCCATAGAGACCCCCTGCAGCTCGATTCTGTAAGTAGACCCATCTTCCTTTGGAGGGTTGTAGTTCAGCTTGGTCCTAACAGGAAGTAAAGCAAGAATCATCTGAGCTATAGCACTGCCACTAAATAAAATTGGACACGCCTTTGTTGTCCCTGGCTGGTGTTTACAAACAGTTCGATCTGTGCTGTGACTGACTGACCTGATGTAGGGGCTGGCAGCAGCCAGGATATTTTTCTGGACAGGAAGCTCCTCTCCGTCCACCACCAGCAGCGCATCGTGGAAACTTTGCTCCTGCCAAAAGGTGCGAAGGACTCTCAGAAGTCTCTGGGAATGTTGTGGATCCGAAACCTTCGAACCGGGCTCATTGGAGGCAGTGTCGGGCATGTCTAGGCTTGCGACAGCCCGAGGACGCACAGCACACTCCTGCCAACATAGTGTCAAACTGAGCTTCTTCAAACAGTACCACCTAATGTTGTCGAACATACGATCACAGTAATGCACAGTTTACGGCACTAAGTAAAAGAAAAGTGGTCCATTCTTAAAATCGAGTTTCAAAAGTCTCAACATAAACTCTTCATTGCGAAACTTTTTTTTTTTTTTTTAAATAAAGTACTTCTCTGGAGTGGCTAGTCCTCTGCCAGTACAGCGAGTGTAAACGGGCCGCGTTAGCAAAACCCAAACGTAGAAAACATATGCTTTCAGTGAATCAATTTAATGCCGAATATTACGGAAACACCCGAGGACCCATGGGACCCAATGATTTACATTTATATATGTTAGCGATCTTGACTGTATCGAGTCTAAACTTGAACTGATATTCCTAAATGAGGTTTGGCCAGTAAATGCTAGCATAGCACCAAAACAACCGACATGTCGATAAAGATTTCCTCGATAAAGATTTCCCGTGATAAAGGAAGGACAACGCCGCCATTAACGTTTTTTTAAGTAACATCGTTACATGATTTTAGCAAAATGTTTTTGTAAATGAAAACTGTGGAGCTATGTTTACATGGGGTTCCGACATGGACTGTTTACAGTGCATGCAAAACCTGAGGTGTCATCCTTTCCTTTTACTGATTACAAATTTAAGTATCTCACCTTAAGACTGAAAAATGCACCTTTCTCTTCTGGGCACAGGGCGTACCTACACTACATGAATTACTCATCCACCCTCTCTGATCACTCAGGACGAAAATTTTGGAAGTAGACGTCAAGGCATGTGTTGTGCTACATTCAAATCTTGGGAAAATGTGGTAAATATGACATCCATCTCGAATATATGTGACGATAATGGAGAACGTACAACGGAGAACATATCTATTTATATTTCAAGCCACTATGTTTTGAAAGCTTTCATAATAAAGAAGAAACCACCTCGGCTGCTTTAAACAGATAAAAAAAAAAGTTAACACAGCCGTTTGCAATGTATTTTGGCGACACCACCTGAACGGAGCATCAGGGCGGAACGCGTCCAGTTTAAAATGTGTGCAGCAACAGAACAGCTGTGAATCAAACAACCGATATAAATATGTACATTTGGTTTCTAAAGACAAAAAACATGTTACATTTCATTATGTATTTTATTTTAGTTTTCGCAATGTCTTTTATTTTTTCTGACTTTCGTAATGGACGCTGATTGGTCGGTTTAGAATTTACGACCACACCCATTCCCTTATTGTCACGTGTTTCCACACAATAACTACGAGTTTGAAGCACAAAAACTTCAGTTTGTGTAAAACGGCCGGCTAGTTTTAATGCTCGAAGGCGACCCGAAACCAGGAGGGTAATGCTGGAAATTCTTTGCAGCTATTGGATTCATGCCTGAAAGCATAATGGCGGATGTCGTAAAACGTGGCTCATGGTCGAAAAAAAAACAACTATCCCCGATAGAATGATGTCAGTCAAAGTTTCTATACATATTATTAAAGGCATAAACTCGCTATTTTACCCGAGTATTTGGCTTCGACGGTTTAATATAATTTAATATAACTAATATGACTAATGATTAATATATATAATTCATCTTCTTGTTATCGTTCGAAATAAAAATAAAACGATTAACTTTTGCGCTTTTATGTTGAAGGAGCTGCTGTTCACTGTCGCCGCCATGACTGCAGACACGCGCAGAGCGGAAGTGCACAGAGGTTACAACGCTGATCAAATATTTAAGCTAAGCGAGTGTCCAGCTAACGTGGCTAAAATATAAATGGCGACACTGCGAGAGACGAGTGTGTGGACTTCACCGAGTCCCTGCTAAAGTTGTCACTACAGTGAGGATGTGGTGGGAGTGTTCTTCTGACTGAGCCTCGTAACTGTTCTGCGGTACGGTTTAAAACTCCGGACATGCCTCGGCTTCCGCGGAACAGACTGTCTCCATGGATAGAGCGGCTCATCTTGAGCTACGGCAGCCAGGAAGAGCAGCAGGAGGAGGTGGGCAGCAGGTTGAAGGCTCATGTCATCGGTGTGGGTCAGATGTCCCAGTCCCAGGCGGGGAACACCGAGGGCCCCACCGGGTTGCTCTTCCTGTCTGATGGGGTACTCCAGATCCCAGCCGTCCTCACGGCGTCAGCCTGGGAGCATCTGCAGGAGCAGGAGGACCGTGAGTGCTTCAGCAGCCTACTCAACAGCACGGTTTGCATCCAGGACTACCGGCTGCAGTTCCACATGGCCTCAGAACAGACTAAATGCAGGTTCTTCTTATCAGTCGGAGAACTAGCTACAACCGCAGCAGGTCCAGTTAAAGACAACACTCCCTGCTGCACCACCCTGTCCTCTGTCAGGATGAAGATCTGTAAAACGTGGAGAGCTCTGCTGGGTCAGGAGGACTCTCAGAAGAGCCAGTGTGAATTTGACCTATCCGAGCTGCTGGGAGAGTGGCAGCACGACTGTCTGCAGGCTGTGCTGGAGGACGTCAGGGAGAAGCTGACAAGGGGACGCGCCGCGAGACTGCAGCCCTCCACCTCCACCTGTCACTCCACGCAGACCTGCTCTAGCACACGCTGGGATGTGGACAGGATCAGATATAAGGGAGAGAAGTGTTTCAGTGTCCCTGTGAAATATCTCCTTATCCCAGAAGAAGACTCTCAGCAGGTCCAGACTCTAAAAAATGCTGAAAGCAGCACAGAGAGGATGGAGGAGGAGAATATACTGCAAGTCTGCAACCCTCCAGAGACCACGCAGCCCTCTGTTGATGATACACACTGGCAGATAGTTCAACCAGCAGCTGTACAAGGAGTTTGTGCATCCAGTGACAGCTCATCTCTTCCAATGGAGGACAGCCTGCTCCACGAGGATGTGATCACAGGTGGGACTGACGAGCCTTTGTCCAACCCGTGGAACATATTTTCTCCTCCTTGTATCTCCTCATCTTCTTCGGATGCATCTCCAGAAGCTACACCAAGCATCTCGCCGCACCCCGCCTCTGCTGCAGAATCCAAGCCTGATCCCGCCACCAGCACGCAGCTTCCTGCCCACCTGGTGGAGTCCAGCTACTTCCCACCCTACCAGAAACAGCTGACTGCCCTCCCCACCACTGCCACTTCCTCTTGTTCAGCTTCAGGCTCCATGATTGCTCCAGAAATGGAAAAACATCGCACCTGGACAGCACAGCAGAGCCTCCCACCTGTGGACCGAGAAAGGGAGGAGACAACTTTGACAAGACACGGAAAAGTTAAGAGAAAGCAAAGCGAGTCCACACCAGAAGCCCTCGACACCTCCACCTTGGTGGAGGACAAGGAGGCGGAACTGAGCAGCAGTCCTCCATCGTGGCTCTTTGACACTCCGGTAGGAGGCTCCAGTGCCGAAGACGGCAGCAGTCCTAAACAGGCTTCAGGGAGTGTCCCGAGAAAAATTCCAAAGGTTCATCGCGACGGCAGGCCGTTCTCTTACTCGTACCGCGTATGTGGACAGAATCTGCAGGACTTCAGTCGCTTCAGAATGACTGAATCTCTGCTGCACTGGGCTGTGAAGTATCTCGTGACTCCAAAGCAAACAGACAATCCTGCAAACGTAGCGTGAGCGGGCCTAGTTTACCTCTCGTCTGTCTTTAGTTCTGTTCTGGTATTGCTTCAGTTTGTCGGTTATGATGGTGTCCTCAGGCCGCTCTGATGGCCATTTCTGTTTGGGATGATTTGGTTTATCAAACGAAGGTCCACATCAGCTGATGAGGGAATTTACAGCTGTTATTTATTTAGCTTTTATGAAGATTTCCTCATTTTCCAAGAACAAAATAAAAACAAAGTGCTGGCGTTTCAGTCAGAGCTTCCTAATTTAATGAGAAACTGATCTGATTTTGGTTTATTGAGCATATAAGACATCACCTTGGCTTGTAGGAAGTTAAAACTTAATTTGATTGATTTTTTTTTCCTGATATTTTGTATAAAAATTTGCAAACAGAAGAGGTTTGCATTTCACAAAAGCACATGACAGCAACGCCAAAGACACCGCACCGAAAATGTTTTGCACACACGGTCGATGTTTGTTTAACAATTTTTGGTGAGCTCTACACAAATATCAATGTTAAATCATCAATAAATACAATTACTGACCGAAATAAAGCCAAACGGTAGTTTTCTTTACACCCGAGCAGGAACGCCGCCGTGCTTACACCGATGCACAAACTCGTCACACACTGTGAAACCATGCTTCTGTTTCATGCTGTGTGACGCTGTCACAGGTTAAAAATGAATATTTTCTCAGCCTCTAGATGCTAAAATGTCCAAATAAAACACGTTTGGAGTCTCGTTTCAATCATTTGCTGTTAAATGTTCTGTAAGTGCAGAGGTTGTGGCTTTGCTCTCTTTTGGGATTTCAGACCTTTCCTGTCTGTGATTAATGGAAATGTCACACGCTGCAATATTCAGCTGACATTAGTTTGATGTCAGAAGTCATCAGCAGCTGTTTGATTATCCATGAAAGCAAAAATGTAAATATTTGATTGTTCCACATTTTGATAAATGAATATTTGTGACAGTTGAGTAAAAATCTGCGTTTTAAACTCTCTCTCTTCCCCTCCAGTTTTCTGTTTTTCAGACAAAATTGCTAAAAGAAAAATAAAACTTGGCAGATGAATGAAAAGGATGTTTGTAGTTTTCTCCATAGAACCGCCTCATGTCTCAGAGCATCGTTGGAGCTGTGCTTTTGTGTTTTTTCATTGTTCAGTGTGGAGATGATTAGAGCAGTATTAACAGTAGAAGCTCAGTTAGCAGCTTTATTGTCTCACCTGCAGTAGAATTCTTGGACCCAAACCTCAGTCAAAGTCATCATATTTGTAGAAAACAAAAAACTAGTAAAGCTGCATTAGTAGATATTTTTCTTTCTTTTAAACTTGGCAGCTTTTCAGTATCGATCCAGGCTCTCATGCAGCCATATTTCACGTTCTTCATCAGTATGAAGGCTCATAATCCTGAAAATCAGACTCAGGGTTTATTTCTGATCAAATATTCAGATTTCCTGGTTAAAGGTAAAAGAGTTGTTCTTTATTCGTCCAGGAGGTGTCGCTGAAGACCGTGCTTGTTAAAGTCGAGCTGATGCAGCGGTTCAGTAATGCGCACGTCAAAGCAAAAAATGTGAAGTGAACTAATCAAAACCTCACAAAGTGATGCTGGTAGGCAGAGGAGGGAGTTTTTGCAGAGCTGTGCCTCCTATACGTGAGTATTTACTGTCACTAAAAGAAAAGGCAAAGAAGAAAACAATGTTGCCATTGTATGGAAGTTTAGGAACTGAGCAGTTTATGATAATAAGGAAATGAGAACAACCAATAAATAAATAACATACACAACTAAGTAAGTAAGCACCACAATTCAGCAGCTTGTAGAACCACCTTTGACAGTAATAATCTGAAGCAATCATTTTTTGCACGACCACAGCTCACATCATCGTGGAGGAATTTTGGTCCACTGTTCTTTACATCGTGGCTTCAGCCATGTGAAGGCCCACCACAGCATCTCAGTCAGGCTGAGGTCTGGACTCTGGGCCCTTACAGCAGGTCGATTCTTCTGGTCTAAGCTTTAGCTGTGGGACAGACGGGCTCACATCAGCCTCTAGAATACTTTGGCATACAGAGGAGTTTGTGGTCGACTCAGTGACATCAAGGTGCCCAAATCATCAGCTCGCCACCACCGTGCTGACAGTCGGTATATGTTTGTGCTGATAAGCCGTGTTTGACTTTCTCCAAACATCGCACTGTGCATGAGGACCAACTCGGCAGGAAACAGTAGAGGTTAGTTTTTGTTCATTTTAACAGGTGCCAAATAAATCAGATGATGGGATGTTTCAACAGAGGAAAGGATGACTGAACAGGATACAGACCCAGAGGCACAAGAAGTCAAGGAGCCCTGGTACAGAGAAAACTGAAAAGAGATGTGCACAAAAAGCCTCAAAATGACCAAAGTGAGGAGAAATATTAACAGAAGCTGATGCACCAATGAGTGTAAACAGAGTAAAAATGATCAGAAAAAGGTGCAATGTGACCCCCAAGAGACTGAAATGATGAAAAAGAGATAACTGTCTCCCCCTGGTGTCTACAAACAACCAGAGGCTGTAACTGTGAGAGGGCCATGCACACAACCATTCAGTAAACTGCATTTTATCAACACCTTTTTTTAAACTTTACTGAGTGTTCTAGATTGTTTTTAATTATCTGAAGACGACATAAAAAGCTCATTTTGCTCGTATAAGCAAATAAGAGGTGAGAAAAGAAACAATTTATTTTGGTTTACAGCAATTTGTGAAAGAAAGAAAGAACAAAAGGAAGATTAACAGCAGTTTCTGTATAACCACTGTGTAAAGAATGGTCACGTTTTCTTTTCAAAAACACAAAAATGTCTAAAGTGAGGAAAATGACACAAATGCAACACTGCAAATAGATGCAAAGTAACTAGAAAAGACACACAACACATCCTGGTATTTATTAGCTCCACCGAGGAGGTTATGTATTTGGTAGCATTTGTGTTTGCGTCATTGTGTTTTGAACGAATGACCTTTTAGAATGGGGGCGTGTTAACAATCCTTTAAAACACAGATGTCAAACTCCAGTCGTCGAGGGCCGATGTCCTGACACTTTTAAATGTCTCCCTGCAGCAACACACCTGAATAAAATTAGGAGGTCATTAGCAAGACTGGACTGCATGCTGAGGTGGCAACCCCTAACCTTGCTCAAGTAAATTTGCATAAATGTAAGTTTTTGGAAAAATGCACTTCTAAAAGTACTTTTATTGCATCATATTCATTCATTCATGAGCTGCTGTAACATGAATCAAATGGCTGAACTGCCACCTCAGCATGCAGTCAGGTCTTACTAATGACCTACTAATTTTATCCAGGTGTGTTGTTGCAGGGAGACATTTAAAAGTTTCGGCTCTTGGGGACTGGAGTTCACTACCCTGCGCTTTAAAATGTGGCTTAACTCCACTGAGGTCTTCAAGGTCAACTTAATGATTTATTGGTCAACAATGGGCAAAAAGCCCAAATATTATGTAACATCTGAACTCTGACCTCTCGTCCCCCTCTCTACAAAGTACAACTTCTTAAAGTACGTTTAAAAAGAAAAATGTAAACTTACTTTTCCATCCACTTGTCCTTTTCAGGGTCGCTGGAGCCTATCCCAGCTGTCATAGGGCGAGAGGCAGGTTACACCCTGGACAGTCTGTTGCAGGGCTAACATATAGAGACAGACAACCATTCACATTCTCACCTATGGGCAATCTGGATTAATCAATTAACCTACCCCCACAAACTGCATGTCTGTGGACGGTGGGAGGAACCCACGCAAACACTGGGAGAACATGCAACCTCCACACAGAAAGCCCCGGCCTGATGGTGGAACTGAACTCAGGACCTTCTTGCTGTGCAGCAGTGCTGACCACCGTGCCACCGTGCTAGCCTTCAAAGCAAATACTGCAAGAGACAGCGCCTCCTCTCTGGGTGCTTCCTGTATTAGCTTTGCTTCATTTTCTCATTTTGAAGTTTTAAAAGCTTTTGATTTTTTTTTATGTGTAAAAACAACAGCTTTTGTTTTGCTGAATGGTTTCTTCTCTCGTGAGCCTCCTCGTCTGTGAGGTCTTGGCATCTTGCTTCCTGTTTTATTTTGAAGGTTAGATCTTCATGTGGCTTTCAGTGCTTTTGCTTCCATTCTTTTTTTCCCCTCCCTCATTAGTGACTGACTGACTTCACCCACTCCTTATTTCACTCCTCTGCTGAGAAGAGTATTTCATCTGCGTCATTCTCCTCAGTCTTTGTCATTTCTGCCGTCTTTGCTCTCCCTGTGGTTTGGAATTGTCCACTGAAGATGTGTTTTCTGAAATCTTGTGGTCGTTAAGGTGCTTTTTGACTTCCTGCAGATTCATTCTAGTTTTTTTCTGTTTTCGTCCTTCAGTTTCATCAGCCTACAGGTGAAAAACCGCTGCAAACAGATACAAAGTGTCTGCAAAGACACCCAATATTATAGCAAAGATGAACATGCAACTACAAAGCAACACAAGCCATTTCCTGCATGTTGTTCCCCTTGTTCTCTCCAGCAATAAAGGATAAAATGCACTAGAATAAATCTTTACAAAACCCCAAATAAATACAGATGAAAGCTAATCTCAGTCTGAGATCATCACTGGAATCTCTTTTTGGTCTGGGACTAGGCTTAATCCAGGTCTGGGAGACTGGCTGAAACTGTGTCATGGACAATCCTGGCATGGAAAAGATCGTAAAGAAAGCAGAAAGCAATCAGAAAGGAAAAACAAGTCAGCGCTCTGGCACCTCACGTCTAATAATCTGTTTCTAATAAAGCGACCCTACAACACTGAGTTTGGGGAGTCAATGCCCCTGATCTTTGGACACACAGTGCTGCTTTTGTGAACTCTCAAATAAAGGTTGTAACAGCTGGGCGACTGGGTGACATCACTGTCAATAAAACATCATGCTCGTGCATCTGCTGCTCGAACATAAAGTTGTAGATATCAAAATACGTCCTGCAGAATTTCCACTAAAATGTCAGATCCCAAATCCCGCTCGCCGTGGCCCGCACTCGTCTCATACTTTCATGTTAGTTTAGTTTAATTTGCTAATGAATCACCGTCTGCTCAGAGAGAAACAGAGAAAAGACCAACTTCTGAGTTTATCCACTGAAAGCTCCAAGGCCTTAATGTAAGCAGGAGCCAGCTGTGCGCACTTGTAAAGTTGTTATAATCCTCCTCTGACCTATAAACAGGAAAATACATAATATAAAGCATCATGCTCACATCTACAAATAATACACTGTCCATGTTGTCCTTGTAAGGCAATACAGTCCCGAGTGGCTCCACGAAGCTTCTCCAAGGACAATTAAAGTCGGGTTTCATTTTGTTCCACTTTCATACGGACACGGTCAGAAAAGAACCTGAAGAAGCTGCAGTCGATGTGAAAACAAATATTCATTCAGAACTTTTCCACAGAGCAGAGAGTTGATTTGGTCACATCTGTAGGAGACATTTCAGTACTTACACAATTGTTTTATATGATTATACGTTGCTATTTTAATTCTCTGAGCCCTTCAGATTTTTTTAAATTAATACACTCTTTATCCATTATTATATAATTAGAAATTTTCATTGAGCGTTGTGTTCACCTCCCCTTATCTTCATGTTTAGTGTGAGCGTTTGGTTACTTCCTGTTTTACTTTGAAGGCTGGCTTTCACGTGGGTCTTTGGTCATAGTCAGATACTCAAAAACAAAACAAAACAAAACAAAGAAATAAATGAAATAAGAAAAGAAGATACAAAAATCTTCCCACATCCTTTTCCTAATCAGTGTTTCCTTGATGGAAAACCCTATGAGGTCAGAGGAAGGTGTGAAGGAGACCTCATAATGACTGAGAACAGCGAGCCGTGGTTCTCCTACACCGGCCTCCTTAAACTGATGACGGATGTCTGACACGTTGAAATGATAATTTCCAGAAGATGAACTACAAAATTTACATTTTACTTCACGTCAAAAAGAGACTCACTTGTTAAAATTATCACTTAGCTACAAAATTTAGAATTTTAAAGGAAATGCATGTACCTGAATGTAAAAAAGAATATTAACGATAAAGCTGAAAATACAGTGATGAACTTAAATAATCAGAAATGTGAAACAGAATCGGGGGCGCCTCCGGAATTTTTTCATTGGGGTGGCCATATGAGGGCCACTAAAAATATTGGAGTGGCACACGAAAAGCACAATTTCCAGTTTTATTATGCTGTTCTTAAATACATGAGTTACTTGGAAAATGTGGCAAAAACACAGAGATGGAAAAGAATGATATGCCGAGTTCATTTCCTGCTATTAAAGTTGACGATTGTTAGCAGAAGCAAATTAAGATCCATTCTCCCGGGAAGGAGTTCAGTTTAAAAGCAAAGTTTTTCAGGAAAGACAAACAAGTGTCGGATCATGTCAGAGTGTGATGCCTGTCTCTGTGTTGCCCCTGAGATGCACCATTGATCTTTCCAGGGGTCGGCACCGGCTTTTCTGCGACCTGACATGGATCACATACCTGTAAAAATATTCATAATATGTTAACATGTTTCAAAACCAACTATTTATTGGTACAAAACAAAATCATCTTTTAACATCACATTTATTTAAAATTATTATTTAACGTAACAAAGTCTTGACGTGGGGAGGTTGGCACTGGAGGTGGTGGTGGGGGTCGCCCCCTGCTGGTCATTCAATAACGTCAGATCCCGAAGCCACGCCCATCTTTTAGACTGCCAGATGTTTATCGTGTTTTGCTAACTTCTGTAGCTATTAACACTTTATCGAGTGTTGGAGTTTGGCGGCTTCACCAAACACGGAGCTTTAAATTTAGTTTTACCTTAGGTGAGTTTAGATGTTTTTTGGGACACTCGGGCACCCCTACATTTTATCATACCACCCATTAAAATAGAATAGAAGGAGTAGCAATAATAACAATGTATCTTATATGTCTTCTGATATAATATTTTGGCAGCTGGTCTACTGGAGACAGGATCCAATAAAAACAGGTTTAAATGTCCGGTGTTGCTGCTGTAATGATGTTACAGTGCACTCACACACAGGTGCTGCTGCTTCAACAGCAGGTTTGTCAGGAATAAATATGACTTTTTGGGGGGAGTTTTTTGTTGCTGTGGCAGAAAGAAAATGAAGAGGTCATTTCACGAACTCTTATAATGTTTCTTTAGGGCCATTAGTGTGCTGACACATCACTAGTTACCACCCAAGGAGCTGGTGTACTTCATAATTTTAGTTTGTTAACGATTTTTATTCCTATTTTGGTCGAATTGAGCTTCAGTGTTCGTTTACAGCTCCAAGTGCAGGTGAGAGTAAGTCAGAGGATGTGATCTGTCAATGTTCAACAGCAGCTTTAACTTACTTTAGAAAGCTCTGGTCAGCATGATTGAGCCTTTGTCTCCGGTTTGGTAAATAAAGGGTACGAGATAAAACTGATGTATAATTTTGAAATGTGCGATTATTCATACTGAATTCGTTTTAGACCCAGATCTAAGTAATTACGCTTGTTTTGATGGTAACATTGTCACGATTAGTTGAAATGAAGCTTGCAAATGTGAAAAAAGCTGACTACATTTGCAATCATCATGTGCTGTTCATATTAACTGCGAGGCACTGCATGCATGACAATATGACCGGGGCTGAGCCCCCTAAAAGTTTGGTTCTAGAATCGCCCCTGGTTTTATACAAGACAGACATGAACTGGAAGAATCGACAGTGGACTGAAAACTGAACACATTACAAAGGCAAATTAAAATAATTTGTTCCTTTTCTTTTTGGGAAATGCGATTTGTATATTTGTGTAATAAGTTAATCTTGTAATATATTAAGGTCCCTAGGTTTATGCATTGTTTGTGTAAGCATGCCCGCATTTTCTTCAATCAATAAAAAAAATAAAAATAATATTGTCTTTGTACCTTACTGCTTGGTATCAACAAATGTTTTAATAAAAATAATCTCAACATTAGCTGATCGCAATAAGTTGCACATTTTGAGCTAATCATATAATTATTTTTTTTAACGCCACCACCTACAAAACCCAGTCAATCGTTTTAGAGCAGCTGTCAGCCTGAAGTACTTATATTCCTGTTAAGCTGATCATTATTATTATATTGTCAGCCATGCCTGATTTATGCGCTCAGATATTCTTTGAAATGAAGTTTGCTGCAGAAATGTTCCCTCTGCGTCATTTGTGTTGGACTGGAAGCAAAACGAGAGTCTGACACGAGTGAAGAGAAATTGTTTAAGTTATTTTCCCTTTTATACACTTTGTTTTCATTCGAGTGAACTCACAGCAACTCCCAGAAAGGACTCGGCAATGTTTGCTTGTTCTCTCTGTGTGAGCAACTCTGAGCGTCAGGGGTGGACGTGATATTTCAAACAGCACATCAGTGCGTTTATGTATTGGGTGCCCGGAAATTTTTCCAAATAAACACAGCTTGATTCAACCTGGGTGGGCAGACTTATCAAGCGACTAATTCTATAAACAGATGAGGGAATAACCCGGCACCTCATTGGTTGTTGGGCAGAGGAGGGGGACATGAGGGAGTTTCAGCGCAATGAAATTTTAATTAATGTGGGTGGGCTAAGAGCAGCACCGACTGTTTATGATGGACAATTTATTTCCCAGTGCAAAGTCAACATAACACAGCAAACGTACAACAATTATTAACATTTTTCTGGGGCCCTCATGAGGCTGAAGAGTCAGTCAGTGGAGGAGTGGAGCTGCGGGAGCAGGCTCAACTTTCCCCGGGACACACTGCGGCTTTCCCGCCGTCATGACTCTCTACCACGGCCGTCTGCCGTCACTCGGAGTGACATCTTCGGCTTTGAGCCTCTCCGCCCCCCCGCTGATCTACCTGTACGGAGGCGACAGCGGCGGGGTCGTGCCCACCGCCCTGAGCTTCGTGCCGGCCCGCCAGGAGCCCCCGCAGAAGCCGCCCTACAGCTACATCGCGCTCATCGCCATGGCCATCAAGAGCGCACCGGAGCAGCGCGCCACGCTCAGCGGCATCTACCAGTTCATCATGGACCGATTCCCCTTCTATCACGACAACAAACAGGGCTGGCAGAACTCGATCCGTCACAACTTGTCCCTGAACGACTGCTTCATCAAGGTGCCCCGGGAGAAGGGCCGGCCGGGCAAAGGCAGCTACTGGACGTTGGACACCAAGTGTCTGGATATGTTTGAAAACGGCAACTACCGCCGGAGGAAGAGGAAGGCGAAGTGTCAGCAGGAGGCTCTGGACTCCAAGGCCACCGGGCACAAGCGCACCAAGGCCCCCGGGCAACCTAGGGACCCTCAGACCTCCCCGAAACATCAAGCTGGCTCGAGGGTAACAGAAGCACCCGCGAGGGATGAGGAGGAGGCGAGGACGCCCGCAGACAGGAAACATATTCTTGGCGAGTTGAATCACGCGGAACAGCCGCAGAGCCCCTCCACGCAGAGACTTAAAGTGCCCCCCAACCAACACAGCAGTCAGGCCGCCGGCAGGGAGCTTCACGCCCCACAGCTCGAGCCGTGCTCCGCGCCGAAACGCGCTGCGCTGTGGACGGACGACGCTCATCTCCCAGACGAGACCCTTGACCCGAAATCAGAGGAGAGGAAGTCTGCGTTCAGCCAAAGAGAAAGAGGTCCTCTCTGCACCGTCAGCTGCGCAGGAAACACAAACTTGGCCGCACCTGCGCCAGACAGACCGAAGGGGAACACACTGAGCAGGGACAAATCCAAAGGTTTCAGCATAGACAGCATTTTAGCGAAGAGCGAGGACGAAATACGAGGCAGCATCCTCGGCCTGCCGGCCGAGACATGCGCACAGGGCCAAAATCCGGCTTTCAGCGCGTCCGTGGTCCTCGGCGCGCGTCAGCATCAGTTGTACCAGATGGGATTCCCTTTCTGCTCTTACCTGTCGCTGTCCTACCCTGACAAAGTGCTGCATTTTAAATGACCGGCAGACTTTCGTGCGTTTTACGCACCAAACGCGTAAAAGTGTAAAGTCTGTGTTTAGCTTTACACGCAGAGACACGAAACAGGATCTCTGCCATCATCTACTTTAAAGTTCGGACAAAAATGAACAAAGAGCGTCAAGAAGACTTTTATCTCCATCTTTACGCATGCGTCATTTTCAGGTTTGTGATTATATTCAGTTTTTTCCTCCCAAATCTGTTGCTCCTCAGAAATTATGGCTGCACAAAACATAATGCTCAGTACAATAAAAGGATGTCGTCCCTGCCATGTAAATATTTACGGATATGCTACACTTTACTCATGATGGTGAAACCCCATAAAGCAAGAACAGTGCGTAATTTAATTTTAATTGTCGTGACTGGGCCTGAAGATGCCGTACAATATGAAGTTTAGTACTCAGTAATGATGTAACCAAAACCTATTATTATTTTCCACTCTGCTCTGGATTTGAACATTTATTTTACTGCAAAATAAAATTTAGCCAAAAATGTTGACGTGATTTATTTTAAATTGTGGTACGAAAGAATAAATAGAAACACTGCTGGAAAGCTGCACCTTTGTTTCCCCCCCCCCCGTTTTGCTTTAAGAAAAATGAGACGACGTGTTTGGTTTTGTTCATTTTCATTAAAGTTTATGAGTTTAAAAAATGAAATAAAACCCATATCAGGGCTTTCACCAACGAAACATCAGCAGCAACAGAACTGAAAAACTGGACACTGCCTTGTAGTTTAAGGACAGACAGACATTCCATTATTAAAAGTTGATGCTTATCTGAAAAATTATAACAAAGTTTCATTGAAATCAAAAACATGTACCGTTTGAGAACAGAGAGATACATTGTGCATTTACAGAATTCATAAAAAATCAATTAATAAAAAAACTTGAAAATGTTCTGGGGAAATCAGAGAATGTAACTTCATATTTGTGAACACAGCAAAGTATTTAAATCATGTTTTTCCAAGTTGAGCGGCAGTAAGAATGTGCGGTGATGGCGCTTTATTTCAGTGGAATGAGAGAGCAGAGGCAGCCGGGCAGTCTTTGGAGGGCAGCTTTATAAATAAACATCATGCTGTGCTGCTCCCTGGTATTTGTTGAGGAGGACCGGCCCACCTTTGCATTTCATACGGTGAGAAAAGATTATCGACCGCAATGAAATGCAGTGCGATGTGATAAAAGGAATCAAAAGGCTTCCAGGTGGAGGAGGAAGCATTCATATGAACAGTGCCGAGCACAGAAAACAATTGTAGATCATGATTATGATCAGTAAGAGACACATCCATATAGTTTCTTCCACATCCAGCATTCATCCAGAATCTGAAGCATTTAGATGATTTTATGTTTGGAACCAGCGGTTTCAGCTTTTGCCCACAAAGCGTTTGATTATAGAGCAGTCCAGGCTGGATGGTGACCTTGTGAAGGTGAAGCTTAAAGTAATTTACCAGTATTTATACATACTGTACGTGTGGATATATTTGGCACAGCCACACAGATCTGTGTGTGAAGGTGTTCTCATAAATACCTGCTTAAATCAGTGCAATCAGTCATATGGTACCCCCTGTGCAAGGTGGCAACACCGGGTCCCCCAGGCGCCCCCAAAAGTCCACAGTTTACTTATCATTTCAGCCTAATGATGATGATATATTAGCACAGTTTAGGTTAAATACATAGACCTTAAGTGCTTTATTTTCTGCTGAGCTTATTTGTTTAAGTTTGTGTTTCAAAGTGTGTTTTAATCAACACCCAGAAAACCAGGAACCATCCGTCAGTGAAAATGGGGGAAAATCTTTGTTTTACTGAAGTTCACATAATCCAGAGTTTCAGCTGCAGCTGTCAAATTCACCAAATCTAGGACTACAAAAAGAAACGGCATGTTTTTATTGTTTGCAGCGCTGACCATGACCTAAACTCAACGTCCATTTATCAGCTTTCCTTGGGCCTTTAACCATGTCTGAGGTCACCTGCAAACAACATTTAGAAACACGTTTTTTGGTTCAACTGTTTCCACATCAAGAATGAGTTTGTAAAAATCACAGTAAATAATAATAAAAAAATCGAAATCTCAAAGGAACCAAACAACAAAAACAGTAATAATCCTATCTAATAATTTTCTCATGTTTAAACTTTTTGTATTTTTTAATTCTGGTACCTTTTTCTCATTTATATTATTACATTAGGAGTTAAAGCTAAAACTTCAAACAGCACGAAAGGCAAATGAATAAAACAAATTCTCATCATAAAGCTGAAATATTAATACTAAATCATAAAAGTGTAAAATACTTATGACTCCTCTCCAAACCAGCAGCTGTGATTCCATGCAGGTAAACGCAACGACACGCTGAAGCATTCACATAACTAACAGCTCAACACACTCCAGATATTTTATTCATGCTCATGTGTTCATATAGAATTATGTAACACACAGCCTCATCTTTATTTAATTCTATATTTATACAAAACAATTATCATCATTTGTTGCAATCTATCTTATGTCTGTTTGCTCCATTAATACACAAGCTGGAGCAGTCTGCATCAGGCTGTAAATTCCCTCCTTGCATCCAGACAGATCCGGGCTGGAGTGTGACTGTTTCCTCGGGAATATCAAAATGATTTCTTCCACTTTCTCTTCTTTCAATTCAAGAAATTTTGAGCGCTCTCTCAATGGAGGAATTCTTCCAAAAATAATTAAATCTGGATCTGGATCAACAACAAAAGTTAATCACTTCTACATTTCTCCAAAAGCAGCTTCAGATGTTCAAATGCATCAAGAACTTTTTGAGTAAACTTATAGAAGAAGAATCAGCCCTATTATCTCCACCCCTCTGTGGAGATAATAAGGACATCAGTCCTTTGCAATCCTGCAATTTGTAACATAATAACTTTGATCTGTATTTTTTTTTAATGACAGAAAATGAAGGGTGTTTTCTGGTGTGTGTGTGGTTGGGGGGAGGGGGGGGGGTTTATAATATAACACATCCTGGAAAGTGTTTGGAAACGAACACATTTCTGCCATGATTGCAATCGGTTATTAAAATGCAACCTGCTTGATTTTCTAAACGCTTCAGTCCGTAGCGCACTCAGAGGTGGTACGACAGCGACTAAGCTGGACGCAGCATTTGTCCTGCTTCCTGTCTGCTGGGTGACGTGTGGCTGACGCACTCGTTTTTATAAGGTTGTTATTCACTTGAAAATTTACAGCTTTTGAAACAAAAGTGTCATTTATTGCTGAAGCGTTTTAAATTATGGAGACAAAGAGACTTCTCTTTGTCTCCATTGTATTTGTGTATTTCAAACTTCTCTCAAGTATCTCTCATCCTTACAGCCTGATTTTATCCATGTTAGACTGAAAGAAAGTGTATTTAGCGTTCCCGCCTTTAAAAAATAAAACACCTCACGTGCAAACATCTAAGATTTAAAATATGGTTAGAATTATTGTGAAATATCACCTCATAAGTCTTCTTCACTGTGCACTGACTGTAGTCACTGGCTTCATACCTGCAGGAGCAACAAGGTCATGTAAGTGCCAAAGACTGCAGTTCCTCGAATGTCCACTTGAGGCCGTCTCCTCAAAAATGAGGCAACTCCCGTGTAACATGTTCATGTTTACAGCAGAAATAAAGACATTTACAGCCTGGATTAAAAACTACATCCAGTCACTGAACTGAATGTCCTGGAGGTGTTTGTGCTGCCGGAGCCTTTTGGACCATTTTACTGAATTATCTGACAAATAAAATGACTTGCTGTGAGGTGCAGGTATTTGTGTCCGCGTGTTGCCCCCAAACAGTTTATGATCGTAGCTTGATAACCAAGCTTGCTAGCATTAGCTGATAACTTCTACCTACAACAGCTGCGCGTGGCGTGGGTGGAAGGAACGTCACGGCGGTGACAGAGGCCGTATTTTCTGGATTTACTTCTCAGCAGGGCTCAGCTTACCTGGAAGAAGTGACGAGTTTAACGTACAGACACAGCTTGTGTTTCCTGGTTTCACCGCTAATGCTAATGCTAACAGCTGAATAACAATGGTAACCCTGCGTTTGCTCTGGACCGGGAGTCATAAATAGCTAATGAGAAGCCTTTTAAGGTCTGATGGTGCTGAAAGTCCCAAACGAGGGTCTGTGAGCGACTTGTTGTAGAATGACACCTGCAGGAAATCAGAGCGCTGCGCTGACAGCATCATTACAAACACAGAGCAGCCATGTCTAAATATAGGCCCGCCGCTCAGACTCACACTCCGCTGAAAAAGCTGCACTGTTTGAGGCTAGCGCTGTGCAAATCAGGAATGTTTGCTTGAAATAAATAAACTTGCCCACATTTGAGGAGAGGAACTCACAATCACAAGCATTTCCTGTGTATAGGATTCTTTTGGTCGGACGTGTAAATAAAACATGATGAAAACCTCAGAAGGGAAAGATGGCGAGAGAGGAGTGGAAAGAAGAGGAGTGACTGGACTCCACGCTCGGGCTCTCCGAGGTCTGGGTGCGTTTCATACCGACACATAAACCAGCGTAATTGGCTCCGCTGGTTCCTCGTCCTCCAGCGATTTCCAAAGTCTTCTGAAAACAAAGCAGATTAATAAATGTTGGTTATCTGATGGTGTTTGAACAGTAAGAGATCCTCCTGAGAAAGCAACTCAGACAAAAGGGAAATCCTGTCGCTTCTATTTATTATGCGAGAAAACAAACTTTGCTGATGGGCCGTGGTCACAGATCTTTAACATGCACGGAGCCAGCATTGGCACCGGGCTGAACTCTGCAGCAGGGACCTGGAGGTGGCTTCCTGTGAGAGGCTTTAGGATTGTGGACTATGCAGGATTTGCTCATCAGAGCAACTATGAGACACATTTCTTTTGAATGGAGCTCGTCATTGTCCTTTATGTCATCCTTCAGTCAAAGTGACGTCGTCTTTAGATTGACTAAAATCGTGACTGGATTCGTGACTCCGTCCAGAAGAGCAGCGCAGACGGAAAAACCCCACAAAACCCCACTAATCATCCCACCATGTGGTTTGCGGCTCTGTGTTTCCATAAATGCATCTTGCCTCATTTTGCATACCGTTGTGTTTGTTTTTGTGCATCTTCTGTGTCTAGTTTTGTGTTTCTTTATGGCTTTTTATGTGTTTTGTACATCATTGTGGTCTTTTTGTTTGTCTATGACGTCCTTTTTTGTCTTTTTTTGTCAATTTTTGTCTCATTTTGGTGTGTGGGTCATTCTGACACTAAATCTGGTAGTTTTCGTTTGCTCATCTGTTTTGCATTTGCTTTTTGAGCTTATGTTTGTACTCGTCTTTTTTTGTAATTGTTTCACTCATTTTAACTTCTTATCACATTATTTCATCCATCTGCACGTCTTTATTTGGCAGCTAACTTTGGTCAGTGTGTGGTTGTTTGATGTCTGACTTTTTTGTGTCTTTTTCAGGTCCCTTTCTTTGTCTTTGCGTTTGTTTTACATCAGTTTCAAGTGGTTTTGCATTTTTTTTGTCTCTTTGTGGACATTTTGTGATCACTGTGTCTGTGGTTGTTTTCACATCTTTGTTGTTTTGTGTCATTTTAAGTCCTTTTTTGTTTCTGAGGTTGTTTTTCCTTTTCTGTTTTTTTCTCTCTGTGTATTCTAAGAAATAAAAACAGTCTAACCCTTAAATCATTTTCGATTGTTGTCATGTCACACATTGTCCTTCACATTTCTATTCTTATTGTCAAATTAAAATCTCTTTAATCTGTCCTCTTCCTTCACTCTTTTTCTTTCTACCAGCCATAAAGGTAATGCATGTTTCCTTGGTCAGGACTGATTTTTTCCTTTTATTGAATCCAAACAAAGCAGAAGAGAAGGCATCACTTCCTGTCTGACAGAGCAGAAACACCCACCAGACCATTGGTGTGTTTAGAACATTAAATGTAAAAGCTTTCATCAGGTTGAATCACTGTTCTGTTTAATAATCCATCGTACAGGACAGAGCAGCAAAATGGACTCATATTTATATGAAAAGGTTTCAGGCCGGCCCACGAAGACGTCCAAGGAAAGTGAGTGCAAAATTTACAAATGCTGAAAAACGACTTTTGTTTTTTCACAGTCTGACACAAAGGAGAGACTGAACAGAAAGGATTTTATTGCCTGAGCGAGTTCTCTTTCAAATGGGCATGCAGAGTTTACTGTGCTTGTTTCATCTCAAACTTGTTACTTGGAAGAAACAATCTAACCTTTCCTCCACCAACAAGTTAACATTTGCTTTAGCCTCACAGTAAAATGTGTCAACAGCAACTTTGCTCTCCAGTGTTAAACATATTTTTGTAATAGGGTTCTCATTAAATTATGAAATGCTTCTTTGTTTTCTATTGGCTCGCCCTGGCCTCATGTCTAATTTTTCTCAACTATAAAACCGTTGACCTGACTTTTGGTTCACATGTTCTTTCTCCCTCCTCAGGCTGAGTTGTAATCACTGTGATTCACACGGCACTAACTACACAGGACTTTAGCCAAACTGCGTAACTCAGTTGTTATTGCGGCAAATAATAATCTAGTTCAATAAATCTTTAATTAAATCAATGTGGTGCAAAGGTGTCTCAATCAAATCAAATAATACATATTTCTCTGGAGTTTCAGGCTGCAGTGCTTTTTCTGAAGTGTGTATCTGCTAACTTACACGGAACATTTCTGTGTTGTTCCACAGTTCTGTGTTGCATATCATGGTAACCCTACAAGCATGCTCTCCATATGTGAATGTGTTTAATATGACGGGGATTAGAGCTGATCAAAGCACCAAAGCAGGGTTGGACCCAAATAATAATACAGACCACTCTGTTCACACAAACCTCCACAGCCTAACAATATTTAGATCTGTCGGTGTCATGCGTTTTACTAATATTACTACCATATAGTAAAATATAAAGAAATTCATCTTTAATTGGCGCGTAAATGAATCTCGAAATGCACATGCACAGTGATGGAGAAACTGTAACCTTTGTGTGCACAAGCTGCTTGAAAAGAACAGTTTTTATTACGTTTGTTACCAACATCATGGCAAAGTTTCATTTTCAGATATTACCTTTACACTGACATGTGCGCAGGAGTTATCCAGGATGGAGACAAATGTGTGTGAACACTGAGGTTTCAGTGGCAGCAAAAGTTCAACTTAATCACAGGCAGAGATGGGCAGTAACGCGTTACAAGTAACAGCTAAAGTGCTGTGTAGTTACAAGGATCGGCTTACTGTAATCTGATTACTTTTTCAACTAACAAGTAATGTAAGGGATCACTATTGCAAAAAAAGTAATTAGATTACTGTTACTTTCCCGTAAGCATGCTGCGTTACCGTCATGATTTTGTTTGTGAGTGTCTCATGACAACGTGCAGAACACCAGTGGATAATATGGAGTGCAGGACAGAGTACGACCATGCAGCGTTTACAGCGTGGAAGTACTGACATTACTTTGAGTTTGATTCCGTAAAAAGTGACAAAAACATTAGCGTCCGCTGTTCACTGCGTGGGAAGAAAACGTCTTTCTACAGCGAAAAAATTTAACTTCAAATCTGAGCAAACACGGGAATGTGACATTCACAGAGAAACCCCCGGATCCCCCCACTGACATGACGGCTGCTGCACCGGGCAAACCTCCACCCGTCCCACTCGTGCTAAACAGGTGACAATAGATCTAAGAGCGACAGGACTCGGTGCTGCTGAGTCTTTGATTTTATTTATTTTACTCGCATCTATTTGAAAGAGTGAGTGTAAACACAAACCATTGTTTTATTTTATGTGCTGGAATCTGCAGGAAATAGGTTGAAATGTTAAACAATTTCTTCCAGTCAAAGACTGGTGCATATAATTAAATTTTTGCTTGATGCATAAAGTTAAAAGATTAAAACGAATAGAACAAGTTTTAAAAAGAGACTTTTCCATTTGATTACATTTTAAATGATGGATTATGC